ACTTTACCACCGCGCTCACTGCTAAGCATGTGCTGAGTAAGTAAGATAGCTCGGTGTTTTCGGATAATAATGTCAACATAATGTCAACACTGCCACTCGACTGTCCCCAATGATTGGACGATAGGCGGGATGTCTAAGGTTTATGCTAACTTAATGCTTATCCAACATACGCAGGGACACAAAGCTTTCTACAACTCGGAATTCATGTACCACTTTTAGCATGATTGCTCTGTCGAGAATCTAACAATATGCAGTAGCCACGTCACTACTGCCCGAATGCCTCACGAGCATTGAGAACTAGTATCTCGGAGATATGCGGTGCCGTCTTCGGTGGAACCCAGGGTTGCTGGGCATTGAGTTTCTTCAATCCACCTAATTCCGTGCCAAATCATCGGATAATCGAAATGCTTATATTTACATTCCACATGGATATAGACATCAGAGTGGCCCATCGGTGACACAGCCGTGGCTGGCGTCGCTGACAAGAGCAGGATACTTTTTCAATGTGCCTTTCTTTACCCGAGGTTCAGGCGCCTTCCATTCTTTCTTCCTCTTCTCCATCTCTTCTGCGGATATATCCAGATCAACCACTCTCTTCTCTGCGTCGATAATCACCCCGTCCCCGTCTTTCACCAGGGCGATCGGACCGCCCTCCATTGCCTCAGGCACAATATGACCAATTAGGAATCCATGACTGCCTCCGGAGAAGCGACCGTCGGTAAGAAGGGCGACGTCCTGACCCAGACCTGCCCCCATAATGGCGGCACTAGGCTTGAGCATTTCCGGCATACCAGGACCACCCTTTGGACCTTCATACCGGATTATGACAACGGTCTTCTCGCCCTTCTTGATTTCTCCCCGTTCAAAAGCCTCAATAAACGCATCTTCATAGTCATAGCACTTGGCAGTGCCTTCAAATTGGAGACCCTCTTTACCAGTGATCTTCCCGACAGAGCCTCCGGGAGCCAAAGATCCACGCAGAATTTGAAGGTGACCCGTCGGCTTGATAGGATCGCTGAGCGGTCGGATGATGGGTTGATCCTCAGGGAAATCAGGCCAAGATGCAACATTCTCCTTCATAGTTTTGCCGGTCACAGTAATGCCAGACCCATTAATCAAACCCTCCTTGAGCAGGAAGCGGAGTAGGGCCGGTGTGCCGCCGATCTTGTACAGGTCATGCATGACATACTTTCCTGATGGTTTTAGGTCTGCCAGGAACGGCGTCTTATCCGACACGGCTTGGAAATCATCAATGGTGAGTTTGATCCCCACGGACTGGGCAATGGCAATCAGATGCATGACTGCGTTGGTGCTTCCTCCCAAGATATTGACCACGATCATTGCATTTTCAAATGCTTGGCGAGTCAGAATATCCGATGGCCGGATGTCTTCCTTCAAGAGGTTCTTGACCGTTTCTCCAATCTCTTCGCACTCCGCTTGCTTGCGTGGATCTTCCGCGGGACAACTACTACTTCCCGGAACCGTAAGCCCGAGAACCTCGATAGCTGTGGCCATGGTATTGGCAGTATACATGCCACCACACGCACCACTTCCGGGACACGCATGGCGAATGATGTCAAATTGCTGTGCTTCATCAATCTGACCACTAATATATTGGCCATAGGACTGAAACGCGCTGACCAGATCCAAAGTCTGGCCCCCAGCGCTGCAACCAGGCTTAATACTACCACCATAAATCACAATGCTGGGACGGTTGACCCGGCCCATGGCCATAACGACACCAGGCATATTCTTATCGCAGCCCGGAAGCGAGATATTCGCGTCATACCACTGCCCGTTCATGACAGTCTCGATGCCATCCGCGATGATCTCACGACTTTGCAGACTGTATCGCATCCCACTGGTGCCCATGCTGATTCCGTCCGACACTCCAATCGAGTTGAAACGCATGGGAACCAGGCCTGCCCTGGCAACCGAGACGCGTACCAGCAAGGACAAGTCCATCAAGTGCATGTTGCAAGGGTTCCCCTCGAACCAGACCGAGGAGATCCCCACCTGGGCCTTGTTCATATCTGCTTCCTCCAAACCAGTGGCATATAGATCGCTTGCGAGGCACCCTGTGATTTAGGTTGTGTAATCTTGGAAGAAACTCTGTTCAATTTGGCATCGGCATATTGACGAGAGGTGGTAGAGAGGAGACGACTGTGATTGTTGAATTCGAGTCAGCTTTAGATCCAAAATAAACAAGAAAATAAAAAGAGTCCAACGCATGATGAGTTCGTGTACTTGCCTATGGACGTGTTTTCTTAGATGCCGTTGACGGCTCAGCATCGGAACTCTGGGCTGAAGAGCGTGTAGAATCATGACGATTGTTCATGAAGTTGAGAAGGCGAAGGAAGGGAAGATCAATTCAGGTATCTTTCGTAGGTACAACCGATATTTCAATATCCAAAACGCACTTCCTGGTGGTTGACAGAGAAGTTAAAAACAATTGAAGGATGTGGTCACTGCCGGGGGATGACTCGGTCGCAATAGGAGCAGTCAATCAGCAACCTATGATTTCCGAGATATAAATGGCGATGCTCTGTCTCACCATCAATAAGATTCCTGTTATTGCAAGCAAGGAGTACTTGTTCGTCCAATCATCGCCAATGAATTCCGTTGATACCTAAATACCTGGATGCTCTCAATAGTCACCTTCGGAGAGAGGCTGCAAGTCCGGAGACCCACTGAGATGCTGTCTGCCGTTTAGAACGGGTACAACGGAGTACTACCTAGGTACTAGACTACTAGTAGGTAAACTTGGCTTTACTTAGCCTGTAAGGCTTCAGATTGACTTTCGGACCATTCCGTGGAGTCAACGGAAAGAAAGCCGAATGGGCTTAACTCTCCAAGTTGTGGATGGCTGAGGCGTTGGCACCACCGGGGTAGACGACGGACTGGTGTCTAATCTACCTAAACTGTGGCAGCATGCACTCAAGTCTGGAATGGAATATTGTCACCACTTGACCAGATTCAACCATGGTACGGGGCTACGGGCAATTTCATATATAAAGATGATCATTCTGCAGAATGACGTCTACCACTTTTTTGCACGATCAAGCATGGTCACATCTCTGGTACGACGGACACTCCCAGTATACCGCTCCCATCAGAATCCATTGCGATAATTATCTGCTTAGCTATACATGGGCCAGAATTACGGATATGATGAGAATATATTCATCCTATCGTGGTGTAAAAATGCTTCGATCCGACCCTGGCCCAGACAAACCAAGACAACATAATACGGGCATCCCTGCACTTTGGGCAGCACAGCACGAGGGAGTAATAGTCTTCATGGTCAATCTCAACCAGTAATTCATTCAATCCAGGAGAGAGATAGCACCGCGGCCGATCGACCCATAGAACGACGTCGGCATCCCTATTTCATGCTCTAAGGGAACAACCACCGCGGCAAATAGTCGCCCCAACCCCAGTAGTTCTGGGCGCTCAAGGGATGAGCATCGCAATGGCGTATATCTTCTGGACTTACGCCTTCGGGGAGATTGTCCGGATCATAATACATGATTCCTAGACGTCCGCATTCTCCTTCAGTGGCGCCTGGGGCGGGAAGTAGAACCCCCCATGCGATGGAGGTTGATCCGAGGAGTAAGATGAGGTTATGAGGGAGCTTCATGATAATGCTTTCCTAGTCTGTAGCAAACAGTCAGTACATTTCTATCCTGTAGGTAAATGGAAGAGTGAAGATCCTACCTGATATGGACTGGGGGTATTGACTTTCGTTGAAGGCAAGTTGTAACGCAACTGAGCAGAAGATGAGATGCAGCGGTTATCTATGCCTTTCTACTGTTTGGATATCATAATAAGTTAGTCACTAAGGGACATATGACAAGCAGATCCTCCATACGTAGCATTGACTCATTGGTTGGGTTTATCTTCTACCTGATTGGGTGCTCAAGACGGGGCGGTGCAATACAAGGCCATTAAAGGTGACACTGACCGGGGTTAGAAGCTAAGCTAGATTAATGGAGCAAAGACTAGGCAGATACATATTTTGTTTGGCTGTCCAAGACCCTGACGGCCGCTAAAGTATTAGGCTGGGAGACTTCCCACGTAAATTCCTGCCTCTACTTCATCTATGCTAACCCGCCCCGTACTTTGAATCACTGGGGCCTTGGTTATTATGGATAGATGAGGATCCCAGTCATTGAGCGGGTATTCTCGTCTGATATCGAAGCCCAGACTGGCTAGTCCAGTCAGCCTGGTATAAACCTGCCTTCGGATGCTGTCGTGTGACCATTCCAAACATCTCTGCATGGTCATATAGTGATACCCTGAGTATTCGAATAATGTCAACACTAAACAGACCAGTCACTACTTAACAAAGCTTACAAGACTAGAAGACTTCTGTGAGCCCGGTTCCTCACAGCATCGTCCTTTTCCCAGCATTCTTTCCAGAAGTACGACCTCCACTTTGCGTGTGCAAATATAAAGGTGTTAATATTATATAGTAGACCACGTAGCATATCACGTTTTTAACTAGGGGTATTGGTCCAATACTTATGAGCCCGGAAGCCCTTATCTGGACCCATGATTGATTCACATGGCTATGTGCAGCACACTACATGCATGGCACATCAGATATGTAAGCCTTTAGTACGCCAGAGCTTTTGTGTGAGCTGTGAGCTCAATCAGGGGCCTTGTCTTCGATGTGTCTGTCTTGAGTCGTGTGAATTGAGGGATGGTTGTTAGTACAGACATGCTATTCTAGGCCTGTGGTCGATGTCGTCATACACTTAGTAGTCCGTCAGCTCCATAAAATGGACAGTTATCTCGCTGAGAAAACAGTGACCGGACGCAAGATTCAACCTTCAACTATATTGTACAGCTTGTAGACCCCAGCAACGACTCATCCATCCTGAAAGGTCACTCTCCCGAAGTTTGTTGCTCCTTTCTCTGCTTCAGGAGAAAGTTCGCAATTCTTTGTTTCCACCATCTTCGAGTTCAGCGGCTGGAGCTGCACGTTTCGTGCAAGAATGCCTGAAACCATCATCACCAGCCTGCGCTTCGAAGGAAAAGCAGATGATCTTTTCAACCCTCCTCAGCAGAATTTCAGCGTATCACACGATCACATATTCTCAGCTGCGCGTCTGACCATAAACGGACAGGCCGAAGGACGAGAACACTATACCTACCTGAGTATCCGATCTCCAGATGATACGTACATGAACAGCGTCTCGACAGACGTGCCAGACAGGGAGCCAACAACAGTGGGGGCATCCCGGGAACTCTCCCGTCTACCCCCTGGCGATAAGTACTCACTGTGGATGTACTCTTTGGGTTTCAGTTCCGGCTCCAGCGGTGAGGACGTCTCAGTTACAATCGACCTCCTCGGGTTCGACTCGACTGTTGCAGACGTCACATGCGACGTTCTCCGAGATGCAGAATCAGACCCGTGGGTCAATGCTATTGCATTTGGCATATCAGAGGCATCCTTCACAAACCTCATGACCGCCCCCTTTACCGCGCCAGAGCTGGAGGTTGGCAGAGGACCTTACCTCAAGTTGACACTCGATCTCGAGACGCAGTACAGTCAACCCTGGCCCTTTGTACATATCGACGCATCTACCAAGGAATTTGTCGTCTCAGGCGAGTTGCTGCTCACCTTMTCTCGGAAAGAAGGGCCACTCTGGCCTGTCGCGGTCGTTTCGGCGACCCTGAATGTCTATTGCCAACCAGCCATGGTCACAGCAACCAATGATACCCTCCAGATCCAGTTTCTGCGCGCAGATGTGATGGTAAACTCGACGTTGGTGAATATCATAGATGAGAGTGGTATCCTGGGGCCGTATAAGAGCGTTTCCGACTTCAGGGAAGAGGTCAACAGGTACCTAGACCAGATCATATCCAATACAGGGCCTCTCGGCTTTGCCCTTCCCGCCTATCTTGCATCACGCCCCATGCCGGATCACTGGCATCATGTGCTCAACATGGAGCTCGATTTCCTGCGTTTTGACTACCGGACAGTCAAGGTCCATGGCGTCAACATCTCGTACCTGTTCATCGTTTTCTCTGTTCGAAGCCTCAACCTACCCCCTCCTTGTTACTGCGAAACCGAAGTGGCCGCTCTGCAAGAAGCCAACACGCCCTCAGCCGCCTTCGATTGGCTTTCACGCCAGGAGAGTCATAAACGTTCGCTGTTGCAACACTATCGACCCGGAGCCAGCACAAAGAATGCTCAAAGCTCCCAGCTACAGGAACAGAATGATGTGGTGCCTCCCAGGCCTGACTACTACCGTGTCTTCACTCCGGCGCAGATTGCAGCCTTGGGGCTGAGTCAGCGGTCATTCCAAGAGATCGCACGACCCTACGCCAGCATGGGTCATGATGAGAGCACCTCCACCGGTGGGAGCATATACGTGTCCGCGCGGTTCTGGTTCCGTACAACGCTGCAGGCGGCAGAGATTACCTCGGACGGAATGAAAGCGGTTATCGATGTTACTGCGGAGGGATCCGCAAGGGCCGCAGTGAGGGATAAATGCGGGCACGACGTATTGAGCGCGGGTGCTCGTCTGCGTATCCGCTGCGACGATACTTCCATCAGATCGTCGTTGCGCATCAACGAGACGATACACGATCCGCCAGATCCGCCTGAATTGACTATCGAAGCGGATCCCCAGGTCAATGTCGGCGACATCAATGTGAAATTCGACGGTGTCTTATCCCCACCGCCACCGCTGGATCAATTCGAAAACTGGGTCATCACAACAGTAGCCAATATGCTCAGACCCGCGCTCAGCAAGCGCGCCTCTGAGAAACGAATCCGGTTGATCCGCACTCTAGAGAACAATGGGGGTATCAGGTTGATTTTCGTGGACGATAAGTATTTACCTGGCGAGGCTGCGGTGGTCCTTGGCCAGCTCATTGGTACTACTTCGGACTGAGGACCCCAGCCTAACAGCGCTTCCTGGATAGGTGGCAGCGCTGTCCTACTGTGCTCTTCCCTGGACGTAATACGTGTAAAGTGAAGTTTATGGTGTTTGCTCATGACTCACTCGACCCTCCAATTACAGCCGCTTTGATCTGAGACCATAAATTTTGCGAAACAGAAATAAAATTGGCCAAGGAAAAATGGGTGGTATCCTCTTCCCTCTATCCGAGGGCCTTTTTAACCCTGTTTGCGGACGTATTTATAGACTAGTCCTATCGCCGTGCTATGAAGCGGTTGTGCCACCCTCGACTGGAAATAGTGAATAGCAGATGTTGATAGCTTCGACGAGGTAAATGATTTCTGTCCAGATTGAGAGCAATAGAATAAAGGTTGGATGAATCCTTGTGCTAGTTACCGCCCGGATTCCAATATTGAGGAGACTTTCAGTCAGAGACCCTTTTGACTGCCTTCTCTTCTATTAGCAGAGTCTGGGACTGGGCACTGCGTGATGCCCAGCAACGAATTAAAGTATCGCACCAGCTGCAGTCTCTCTTCGATGTATTGGCGGGTTTGGATTCTGGGATGAAATGTAGTAGTAGAACACATATGCAAAAGAGTAATGACGTCATTGATGTTACCATTATCCAACTAACCAATCAAAGACACAGATCTTACACCACCTTCCTCTACCTCTATCTAAACTCAATCTACCCTGCTGCCCCGTCTATCCAATCAGACTGCACCACTCAACGGAAACGGGCCAGGCACATCCACAATGACGCATACCACTGCGGGGGCTGATCAACCGCTGAACAGCGCTATATAACCCCTCTACCCTGATCTCACCTTCTCATCCTCCATCTCAACACTTCAAGAAAAACAAGCTCTATCTATTAGAAAACAAAATGGACAAACTCTCCGGTCTCGCCTCCAAGCTCGGCGGAAGCCACTCCGCATCCGCCAACCAGACTCAAGGACAGCCACAGGGCCAGCAGGAGGATTACGTTGACAGGGGTAATATACACTCCTTACTGAATGGATTGATGGACGTTCGCTGATTGTACAGGCCTCGACTCCGTTGAACAGCGCTTCGGCGGCGGCAAGATCGACTCTACCAAGATGCGGTCGACGAATGAGAAGATCACCGATGCCGCCAGGGGGCAGTTCGAGAAGGCTACTGGGTATGTCCAAATTCCCTTCAATAGAGTACAATGGCTAATTAGCGCAGACACAAGGTCCCCGAGAAGTTCTCTAACTGATGGAGAGTTATGAATGTGATATATCCTGTCCATAGCAAGAAACAAGGCTAGAAACGCTTCTTCACAAACGAATTCAGTATCCCCTCAATAGCCGACCCGGTTCCCCGGGACGAGTACTGCGTAAGGAGCATGGTATACGTGCGACACGTCTGCATATTTGTCTGCGCCACCTCCGGAACGGCCATCCCCGCCGCCTGGTACGACTCCACCAGTCGCTCGTAGTACTTGTACGCCTCGGTATACTGCTCCCGGGCCATGTGCAGCTGTGCCAGCATATCCAGCATGGACTGCACGTCGGCGCTGTCCTTGCCCTTGCGCGCCTCTGCCCACGACAGGTACCGCGTCAGCCACGGCCCCGCCATCTCCAGCTTGTTGTTGCTGCTCCCCGGCACCATGAACGCGATGTAGTTCCCTCCGTCGCTGTGTAGTGTGTACATGATCCCGATGGTGGCGACCAGGGCCATCGACTCCGGGTGGTCAGGCCCGAGCGTTTCTTCTGCCATTGCAAGCGTCCGCCGCAGTGTTTCCGACGCAGTGGTGGAATCCTGCTGCAGCATCTCTAGGATTCCCTGCAGGCGCAGGGCGCGCAGCGAAAGCGGATGCCGCGGCCCGAGGAGGTCGGTCGTCTCGCGCGCAATCAGGCCCGTTTGCGCCGTGGTGTTGGCGATCTCCCCGCTGAAGCGCATCTCGAGGAGCCTCTGGGCGTTTTGCGTACGTGCAGTGATCACCACCTCGACGATGTCGAGAGCGGAGGCCAGCACGCGGATGTGCTGCGGACCGAGAACGCGCTGTAGCGCCTCGTGGCGTTTCTCGGCGATGCTGACCGCGTTCTGCTCCTGGCCGAGATTGCTGTACGCCATGCTGAGGCGGCGGCGCGTCTCCAGCGTGTCGAGGTCGTCGTCGCCGATGCTCATCTGCTGGCGTGCGAGGACGTTGGCACACACCGACTCGGACTCCTGGTATCGGCCTCGTGCGCAGAGGATATCGCCCATCAGGCTCTCGGCTCGCAGGGTCAGCGGGTGCCGGGGCCCCAACGTGCGCTGGCCCTGGTCGGATACCCACTTGCACCATTCGGTTGCTTTGGTGAGGTACGCGGCCTCGAGGTCGATCTCGGCGAGATGGTAGCCCACCTCAATTGTGCTACTGTGGTCCGGGCCCAGCGTCCGCAGGTGTTCCTGGAAGATGGCATACTCCAGGTTGCGGGCTTGATCCCAGCGCCCGGCGTTCTTGTGCTCGGCGGCCTGGATGGAGCGCGGATCGCTGTCGACCGCCGCGTACATTGTTCCCACGATTCGTTGGGTGGTCTGAGGAGTGGCACTAGGGTAGGGCGAGCTGCTGTTGGTGTGCATGCGCGGAGGTAACGGAGGGCCTGGATGGGGCGACGTCGACGGTTGCGGGACGTATCCTTGTTCAGCGACGAGGACTTGGTCAACGATCTGCTTGATGTTGCCCTTGATGAGTTTGTACATGGGGCCTCGCGACCCGACTTTGCACATCTGCGAGTGGTCGGCGTCGAGTTTGAGTCTGGTTTCCCGATTGCCGGGGAGGCCCAGCACGGCCGACTCTTCCTCTACAACCAACTGCCTTCTTTAGTTCCTGTTTCATCGCCACGAAGAGGAGGCTTACATGGCTGACGGACGCCGGCCCCGCGCCTCCAATCAACACCTCCTTACCCTCCACGAAACTCACGACCCGGTAGTCCTCCAGCTGGTGACTGAAACGGCTGGACATTTGTCGCGTGAAGAGGGAATTGTACTCGAGACAATCCAGCAGCTCATTACTCGCATGTCCTTTCGATACGAAGCGAGCGACCTTGGCAGCGATTTTGCCGACTTCAACACCTTTGGCGCCCCGATGGGGAGTCCCAAAGAAGACGAGTCCGCATGTCGCCAGCCGGATAGCCGTATACTTGGGATCTTCATGCGCATTGAGCAGAGCCTATCACATCAGTCTCACTATCCTCAAGTTTACATCATGTTACCTACCTGCTTAATCACCAAGCCCCCCAAGCTGTGTCCGATAAACACAATTTTCGGCGGACGCGTATTCTACCATCGTCAGCCTCCGCGGCCTGTCAAATAAAGCTAGACATACCAGCTGCGGACTTCTCTCCATATCGAGCAGATTCAACAGCGTATTTGCATGATCCTTCACACTCGCCGTCGACATGGCCTGCGGATTCGTGACGTTCGAATTATATCCGTACACGAACACCCGCGCGTGCGGGATATCCTGCGGCAGGTAATCCCTCGGCCAGAAGGTGCCATTCTGATGGCGCCATGTTTCGTAGGGGTGGTCACTTCTGCCGCGGGGGTTGAGACCGTGGACAAAGACGAAACTACGTCGTATATGTCAACTTGTTTCCCGGTCATACGATGAAGGGGATTCGTACTCGATCTTGGATTGGGAGGGAGAGGTGTATACCTCCTCGAGGAAGGGGAATTCGTTTTCGGTTTCCTATTCTCGTAGCTTAAAATCATGTACAGTGTATATGTCGGGGGAAGGGACGTACCATTATGTCTTGGAGAAAGTGAAATGATGGAGAGTCTGGGAGGGGCAGAAAATGAAAGACGCACCCCCGTCTTCAGCCGCACGCGATCCGTCGTCCATGTCACCATGTGATATCTCAGTCGCAGATACGAGGCGCCGGGTCGGCTGGAATTTCCAATTCCTTGTCAGCACTAGGTACTTTGGTGATATCCCGCATTGACCAGGGTGGGATTGGCTGTGACTTGCTTAGCGCCTTCTGCGGACGAAGGAGGATAGCGGGGTTTCCTAATCGGAGTAAAATTGGCGAGTTCTATATCAGAGCAACTGTGCACTAAGGGCTTATATCATGCCTGGCGAATAGAAGCTTCTGCTGGATCCTCCTTGCTCTTTAGATTCTGCAGACAAGGTGCGTAGAAGAGACTCCCTTGCCATGCGCCGTGCAGCGTCCGGGCGGCTACAACCAGCCACAGGAGGATGACGGCCACACTGAGTATCTGTCTAATTTAGTATTTAAAGTTACTAAAGGGTGATTTATGCTTACCATTCCAAAAATCTTAAAAAACATCAAATCCAGCTGCTCACCCAGCAGGAGGGTGTTGGCCGCATACACGCCCAGCGGAAAGGTGAATCCCCACCAGCCCATATTGAATGGAAACGGGGACGCGTGATAGATTGTCGCCAGGGCAAAGACAAGCCATATTAGCCCGAAACTCCACATAAGCAGCGAGATGAACAGCCCCAAGGTGTACGCGACCGATCCCGCCACGGGGTCGATCACATCGTAAGTCTCGACAAGTTTGCGCAGAACTTTTCCAAGATACAAAATCCTATCTCGTCAGATTTAGTTGTATAACGTGGAATAACGGCTTACCCAAATCCCCCGAATCCCAGCGGCCCCAGCGGCAAGAAACAACTGACAATCGTCTCCCGGGAAGGGAGCTTATGTACCGCCAAGCGCTGGTAGTATATTACCAAAATGGTCATCGCGAGAGGCATCCCCATACCCCAGAGAATATACGATGCAAGCACAGTGCCCATAGCATGCTGCGTATCTGGCAAGATCTCAGCAACCTCCGCCCCGGTCCCTGCCGCAACGATCGTCGCCGCGATGGGGAGAAGCTGCAGCGCGGTGATGCGTTCAAGCGACGTAATATACGTTTGCGAGATCCTATCATCGTTAGCCTGTTTTATCGCATAAGCAGTCGCTAGAAATACAGAATAAAAGACAGCGACACCGTCACTGTCGCAGCCGCCACCGCATCGACAATCCACAACACCCACGCCACCGTCCTCGTCCAGGCTCCCCAGGCCGGCACAACGACGAACACCCACATCTCGATCAGCGTCGCGAAACCCATCGGACAGGTCGCGAGGAAGAGCGAGTTCGTCGGGTCCTGGATCATCACTGCCCAGATCTCGGGGTACAGCGTGTACCGGAGGATGGACATGCAGAGTACTACGGCAAAGAGAACGACGTTGAGAATGAAGAAGACGATGGACACGTAGTGCAGGTATGTGTGTCCGAAAGGGATGATATGGAATAGAATGGCGACGATGCCGGTGCCCATTGTGGTGGAGAACCATCTGTGGATTGTCAGTGAGGTGTTGGGATGGTTATGCCAGCAGTATGAGCAGACTTACGACGGGCTGAAATTGCTGACCACGCGACGCCAGCCCGCGTGATATTTGAGGAAGCTTTTGCTTGGTGTTGGTTTGGGGCGAGATTCCATTTTGATAATTAGATAGTTACCGATATTGAAGATGTTGCACAAAATTCGTTAACGAAGTTGGAATGTGGTTACTGATTAACCTCGGCCGAGAACAAACCTTTCCGACGCGGATATAGCCGATGGTGGCGGACACTCCTTATGTCTCACTGAGTCAAGTTTGATGGTTCCAAGCATTGAGTATCAAATACTTTGGGCATTTAAAATTGATTGCAATACAAGTTCTGTACATAAATACAGGCACAAACAATTTCAGTTGCTGAGAGGGAGACTATTGCCAAACGAGTGACATCCTCTTAACTGTCAAGACACACAACTTCAACAAACGACAATTCGCACCTTTTGGGAGAGCAGTGGCGCCCTTATATATGTATCACACCCACCACGCTCAGAATCCGCCAGGGCCACCACCCATGCCACCAGAAGGGGCGCTGCCGCCGCTGCCAGGAGCAGTACCACTGCCACCTGAGCCACCTGAGCTACCAGACACTGCCTCACTGCCGCTGGAGGTGTAGACGAAGCTGTAGTTAGGCGTGTAGGTTGCTGTCAGGTCGACCGCCACAGTGACCCAGCCCAGCAATCCATCCTCCACACTGTCGCCGAGGAGGACGTAGTTGAACACCGGGTCCGAGGTGGTGCCAGACGTCTCGTCCGAGAACACGCGGTCCTCGGCGTTGGTGGTTTGCGCGACAGTGTTGGTGCTGTAGGGCGAGATAGCTTCTACCTCGTCGATGAGGGTCTGGTCCCAGAACAGCTGGCCGATATGGGGGACTGTGCCGCCGGTCAAAGTATTGTTGGAAAGCAAGGTAGCATTCTGATGGGCGATGATGTGGTGGTGAGTGGTTCTGCCTGAGTAGTGGCCGGGGAAGAGCGTGTTGAAAGATACCACACCATCCGAATCCGTCTTGGCGATACCACGCAAGAAGGTCTCTTCCAGGATGGAGGTGTCCGCGCTGTTACCGTTGCCATTGCCGCTCACGCCAGAGTACACACCGGTTGCGTTGCAGCTCCAGGTGTCAATGTACAGGCCCTCGACGGCCTGGCAGGTGCTGACATCGACGAACTGAATATCCAGCACAACGGGGACCCCGGCCTGGTCCTCGATGATGTCCGAGCGGATCAGCTCTCCACTAACCCAAAAGGGGCCCGTCTCGCCCTCGGGGTTGAGAACGCAGGTGCCAGTGCTGCTGAAAATTTCCGTCTCATCGGTCGAGGTCGTATAGTCGGCCGAGGACAGGTGAGAGGTGTTGAGCACGTCGTCGGTGTCACGAACGGCTAGCTTACGGCGCCGGTACTCGTTGGCGAGCTTCGCACGGCGAGCAATGGCGCGCGCATTGAGACCACTCTCATCGAAAGAGCGCGCACACAGCGAAAGACCGCGACGGACGTGCGACTTGAACGCCAGCAGCTCTTTAGATGCCCGCTTCTCCTCGTGGCCAGGATGAGCGGACACCAGGGAGGCTCCGAGTAGACAAAGAGAAAGAACTTGCTTGAGCTGCATCTTGAGGTTTCAGTGATGATATGACCCGCAAGGTATCTGGAGGATCGTGTAGCGAAGAATCATGGACAGTCGGCGGACTGCGAGCCCTTTATATAGACGAGCAGCTGCCATGTCGCAGAGTGATACACGTACTTCCCATAGAGACGAGACAGAGTCCATCATGAATCGTCTTCCTGTTGGTCGCTATTCCAACCCCGGCTCGACGCGTCAAGTGCTAGGCTTCTAGCAGTAACATCGTCCGAATAATGACAAGCCCCGGGCCATCTAATGCATACCCGTTGCTTCTTCCAATGCCGAGAAAAGCCAATACAGGGATCTGCTCATTCACCGGAGCGGCAGAAGTATCATGGTGAAGATACTCCGCTGTGCCAAGACAGGGAGTCGTCAGTGGGTGACGAATACGTCTGTTTAGCCTGCATGTCCACAACGGAAAGATCTGCGCACTGGTGGAAAATAGAGGAGCTTAATCAACGTCCAGCCAGTCATCAGCAAGCTGATTCTACTGCCGTGACAGTCTGCTTAATGATCTGCATCCATTAGCAGAAGGATCCAATCATCGTCTAGCCATTATTATCACCCAGGGGATTGATCAGATGTGCCTGACGATGACCTCGACGCCCCATCAAACGAGCGAAGGTTACAGCCATCTCATCAAGCCAGTACATGTGGCCGAGGCAATGTGACAGACAAACTAGCTGGAAGCATCTGGTCAGAGTACAGATATGTGCGGCAGACTCAGCGCAGGTGTAGGAGAAATCACATCAAATAATAGCCAAAGCAGGCCTCTGTAATGAGGCATACGAATGCTGCCAACTGAGCATCCACTGTGCTTCTCCTGCCGCGCTATGCATGCTCGATTGACTCGCAATTCTCCATACTCTGCATGGCTGTTTCGGAAGACATCCGCTGCGACATGAGGATAACTCCAGGTCTATTCCCCAAATACGCCGCGAGTACAAAGTAATACCCCGCTCATTAACGTGGAAGTTAGTTTCTAGTGTCCTCATCCATTACGCGCAATCAGCCACATGCAGAGCCATTTTCAGGTCTAGACGTGGACACTGCGCCGCTACATGTCTTCACGGTCATCGGGACGAATCACATTCTGGTCGATATTAAGCCACCACAAGGTGTGGATAATCCTTCATCTTCGGGCGTAGTCGTTTGTCAAATGATAATCCTCCCATTCGCCGGAGACTCCATGCATGAAACGGTGCTCCCGGCTTCCTTCCGCTTCGGCTAAGCAGCAGAGCCAACGTCCCTATAGAGACGGACGCATCTACTTGTGGAACAGTTGGTCAGGAAGTCTTCGTTCAGGTTGGAATGGAGATTCCGTCATCCTTTTCTCACACTCATCGATTCTGTCCGACGATTCGCTCAGCTCACGACCTGCTTCTGTGGGGAAGACAAGGGCCAACAATGCAGTAAATCGGAGAATGGACACAGATTCCATCCACTGTTCCATTACCCGATTGACCATCACAATAGCATCCAGCAGCTCGCTTGCCGGTGTGCGCCTGTATCCGAAATGCGGTTCTCGTTGATAGGGAGCCTGCTGTACTCAAACTTCACGAATGACAGTTAACATAAAAGGACAGGGATTCGCTTCGAGTACTTCATTTCCAACGTAGAGAATTAGCGTCAGCATCACGAGCAGTCGAGATTGGTGGAAAAGGCCTGACCATCGGCTGTTTGGAAGGAAAAAAGTCGATACACAATAACGGCGTCCTTGTCCCAAACTTGAGCTTACGAGCATCGATCTAACCCTCCACAATCCCCAAGTGAGCAAGTATCTTTGAAAATATTTGCCGGGAACGGAAAATGTGTACCTCATTAAACTGCGCCAGGATGAATGGTGTGTACACTATTATACTTATCAGGAGTGGCGATGGCACGGGAGTACGGCCGTAAACTCCGTTTCAGGATAGCAATATGGGTTGGCATGGCTAAAATTTCTTTCTGCATTATCGTTCAAGTCTCAAGTAATGCGTGAGGTTGATACGACGAATGCATCAATGTTCAGAGTGGCCGTACGTGACCGTGGTAGATTCTGGCAGTAGGTATTGGAAGCGAAGTGAGTTGTTGGGCTTTAGCAGGGCAGAATACAGACGGCCTCAGGCAGTTCAATCGCGTGGTACGCACAAGGTCGGGTTGCCTCCCTCTGCTGCTGCTCTAAGCAACTTCTTCTACTGAGAAGCACCTTTAATCTACTTCACTTGATCATCCGGGCATGCACTCCTTCATTCGATATATGAGAGGATATAATGTTTACTGATAAATGCCTTTCGAATACTTCAAGCTTGAACTACGACGTCTGTCCATTTACACTTCAAGAAAGCAATATAGATACGGACAAGAACCGCTTACTCACACGACCGGCCATCCGCTGGAGAAATTAATCGTATTCCATCCGAAGAGCTTCTGGCTGTCTGCATAGCCAATTGTGGTATCGGCATAATGGTAGTAAAGGATAGGGCCAAGGCTTGGGTCAGTGAAGACACCTCTGTGAGTGAAGAATTAGCACTTTGATGCTTTTTACTGATGGATCGAAATGTGATGAGAAGAGACATACTGTCCACCAGGTCCATATACAGTTCCGTGACTTTCGAGGACAACCGTGCCGCCGCCATTCGTGCAAGCAACACCGCTAGCGTCAACCTGAGACAATATCAGCTTTACAATATGCGAGGTCTTTTCCTGTCTTTACTTACGAAATTACCAGTCGCTGAGGTGGACCGGCAGACTTTGATCTTATATTCTTGTCCGGATGCCGGCATGGATGTGTCATAGCCACAGCAGATTCCGGCAGAATAAAAGAGGTAGTAGTAACTGCCATACTTATACAAGAACGATCCTTCGACGGCATGGGTCCCTGAGGGGTTATAGGCGATATTATAGGACGAGGACGCCACGGCCGTTGCGGCCGAGTTCATCGGTGCCTGGTAGATGTCATGCCAGAAGGAGCCAAAATTCATGTAATAGGTTCCGCCGTCGTTGAAGAGGTTGCCATCAATCGCATTGTATGGCTTTGAGGAGCTGGATTGGATACCTGTCGATCCATGGTCGGTCCATGAGTTCAAGTCCATGGTTGAGGATGTTGCAAGACCGATGGCAGAGGATTGGGATCCAAAGGTCGAAACTGAATAATACACATGATAGAGGCCGTTGACGAGACATCCGGTGCCTACGTAGTTCGAGTCAGACTTTACCCCCAGAGGGATGCCGCAGCAAACTGCTGGGTAGGCTTTGACTTATAGGCAGAGGACACGGGGATGGTCAGACGAGGGATTCCGACTGAGTCAAATCAAGAGAGACGGTGTCAACTGAGGAATTACTAACCCAAAGATCGTCGTTTCCATCCAGGTTGATCGACGACCCACTCGGTAATACGGAGCCTAGCACAGTCCATGGACCTTGAATGGAAGAGGATGACGCATAGGAGATCTTATTGCCAGTAGAGAATCGAAAGTACTTGCCGTCAGACTGTCTTCGAATCAGGCCAGGATCATGAACGTTACAAGCTCCAGAACATGACCCCGGGTTGGCATAGCCATGGACCAATGCTACCAGGCAGGACGCTACAGCCACAAAAGCTGAGGAAGGCATGGCTACTGAGCGAGCTCAAGTCGGTCCCATGATGGTGGGAAAGAAGCATGATACGAGGGACCAGCACTTGCTATATATATGCGTGCGAATCGACCAATGGCACAGCTGACGGGATTATAAAGCACAAATGAACTATTTGTGCAAACCATTTGTCCGTTTTCTGCTCCGGTGGGAAGATCTCCTCACATTGAGCTCAATAAGGCTGTCACACTCGTCAAGATGAGCGGATGGTGGAGGCTTATACTAATGTCAGGCGCTGAGTTTCACCTTTCCCCTGCTCCGCGTCAGCAGTCGCTGAGTACTAGAAAGTCGATCATTGCCCTTGATGATCTCCATCCTATGCCGCCAGCATCCACAATGATTCCGATTTGTTGAGTTGTATGCATTACTTGGTCTGTGTCGTTCTAGCATGCTAATCCTAGCAAATCAGCCGACATCTCCACGCTGCAGCCGGCACTCTGCAGCGCACAAATTTCCCCGAGTTGCGGAGAAAATGCGGGGTGATTACAGCGATTCTTCGTCCTGCTCTCTCATCAGAAGTCCCTCACAATGCAGCATGTCGGTAAAACGCGCTTGGCTCGTGATTTACCAAGTAACCGGAGTGTTTTGACTTACTTAGTCCGAGCCGCCACGGTCGTAGTTGTTGCGTCCACCAGCCACAGGAGGAGTTGCTGTTTCGGCTGTTTCAGCACCAGCTGCAGTACGAAGTAGATATCCACCAATCCGACAGTCCTTGCGAGTTGCCGGGCTGCCGGTAATTCACCCGGATTATATGATGCTATCACGCAGTATTTTGGATGGGCACAAAATGACAGATCGCCAGTGGACTCGGCTTCTGCATTTGGAGTACATGCCATCAATGAACTCACCTCTCACAACCAACGGTCCCAAACAACAATGACCTACCAGACTGCTAGAAGAGAGAGATTTGCAACATCCTGGGCCTCTTGGCAGGGGAATGTGTCAGTCTGCCGAACACAGATCCGCCGGGCTGCGGGCCTTTGGCTAGCGTATTTCCCCCACCAAATGGTCTGTTTTGTCTGGACTCTGGCCTGTCTCCTCGCACTGGGCAAGACAATCTTACCGGAGTTGCACGGGAAATAGATGTGGAATGTCGAGTCCCGCCTCGAAATTTCTTCTACTTGGAGGATGAGGACGTTCGACGTGATAAGGTCGCGAGCAAAGTCCCTGGTGCTGCTGTATAAGCACGTTTTCATTTCTTCTTTGCTTGACAGGTGAGAGACTTGAGTGCTCCTCTGGTCATACAAAGTGACATGTCCTATCGGCGTGTTTGATTTGAGACCAGCAGGTCGTGCGAAAGTAAATTCCTTCTCTTTGTTCTCTTCTCACTCGTCAAGGTGTTCGAGATCATCACGTTGAGTTCGATGTGTCCGGTTCGGTCATAGGTTCGGATCGCAAGACAAACAGTACTTGAAATCTAATTTCGAACCTCGCTCGCGAGAAGTTGCCTGAATCGCCAAAGGTCTATGCTTCGATCAGTGCGCGATCCTATGCTCGGGCGCAATTCTACACTCCGTTGAAGGAATGTGGATGGCAGACGAGGGTCGGAAATAGAAATGAGACATGGGCTCCCAGACCTCTTGGTTGAGTTTGACGGGCAGGCAACAAAGGAACAAAGCAACAAATACCGCAATGCGAGTGACGAAAGAGATCTTGCAAGCCGCGAGAGCACTTTCGAGTTGATCCGCAAGGTGCCTCTGACTATTTCAGTTCATTACTTTCCGGCCCTGCCAGCCACTCCAAAACAACATGCGTAAGTCGTCCGCTGATGTGTCAAGATGTGACCGAGACAATATTGCGGAAATGCTTCAGCAATATGACTAGTTTTGTCGTCGGTTCAATAGTCTGGACCTATCTGAAGAGCGTTCGAACACACAATGCGGAGTGATAACAATGCAGCTCGATCTCCCAGCTCGGGTTATCCCTTGATGCGCAATCTCATCTCCTTCCTTCTCCCATCCCTACGATGAAACGCAGGTACAATTTCGCCGCGGCGATGATCATAAGCCGCCCCTTGCAGTCCCAGAATTCTTCCCAGCCCATCTTTTACCAACTTTATTCCAGTGGAAATCCCAACTTTGCAAAATGAGGCATCGACCAGACAGATTGACCTTGCACGGGGTGTATGAACACCACACTAAGGCCTCCGAGCCACCTCCTGACGAGTCTCCCAGCTTGCAGCAAGATGAAACCCTTCCTCCAGCAAATATCCCGTGCATTCCATGCCCATCACAATCAGCCCAAGGCATAAGCTTCCTCACCCCTTGCTCCAACGTGGTATGCCAATGCGTATTCGCTCTCGTTTTAGAAGACTTTCAGCGCAGGTCTGGCGTTACATGATACAATCCTGCTATGTGGTGTGGACGAGATCCAATGAATCAACTTTGCCCGTGCATGTATACTCTAGTCGGCCGCGTGCGCACCCCCTTGGCCACATCCCTTCCTCCGTCCTACTTCCGGTAGATATGGAGAGATAAAAAAAAAAGGGTCTGCACCGATTGCCAGAATCGCCCACTAGACGGAGATAGGAAGCAATTTGTGCTTTCTAACCAATTTCCGCAATAACTGGGTTCCAGTTCTCTGTCATTATGGAGGCTGTGATTGTGGTAAGATTCTCTTCCTTCTCACATTAGATGGGCGGTTTTGTACTAAGGAGTCGTCTCGCTGTAGGCATCGGTTCTTTGCGTTGCCTATGCCGTGTACTACGTATATTCCGATGCGTTGGCTGAAGTACCGGGGCCCCGATTAGCGAAACTATGCCCAGTGAGCATGTCCCATGCAGCGCCGTCAAGGTCAGAATTGACAGAAATAGTCATGGTTAATTCGTGTTCTTTGGTCGAACAAACTCAATCAAGGCATACGGGAGCAGCACCAGAGGCATGGTAAGCCGTCGATGCCCTTTCCACCTATCTCTTACACCCGCTCGGATAAACTGACCGGGTTAAAAGGCGACGTCGTACGCCTCGGACCAAGTGAACTCTCCTTCTGCTCCATCAGCGCCCACGAGACCATCTATAACACAAACAGCGCTTCCTTCATCACATATGGATCTTTCCAGTCGGCTGTGGAGGGTCTCTGCCCACCGGGCGTCACCTTCGTAAGCCATCACAGCCCAGCAGAGCAGAAAGAGTTGCGGAGAGTCTTCCAACCAGCCATCCGTCTCGCAGTCGCGGGAGGTATGGAGGGCCACCACGAGAGACGATTCAGCGAGCTCGTGGCCGGGTTGAACATCAAACCTGGCGTGCCCATGTGTGTTAATCTCACCGGGCTCCTGGAGAAGTTGGAATGGGGCCTTATAGGCGACTTGGGACTGGGATATTCCGTTCCGGAACGGCTCAAAGGTATCATCATGTGAAGACTATCCATCTCATCCCTACATGCTAACCAGGTGTGGTTCCTGGACAGATAACTGGATCACCCAAAAAACTCACCAAAATCTGATCGGGGTTGCCTTCGCGCTGGGTACGTTCCTTCTGAGCCGGCGCGGGCTCAAGGTGCTCGTCGACAGCTTTGGTCCTCTGTGGATACCGAAATACCTTGAACCGGCACACCTATTTGATGTTGCACTGAAGCAGTATGTCTGAAGGCCGGGCCCACTGATATCCCACGACTGACAGACGGACACAGGCGAGCCGAAGGCAAGAACACGTTCGTTTCCCAAGCAATACCATATAAGAACGACAAGTACCCGCACTTGACCAAACAGATGTCCAGCAACGTCACTGGCCTGATGTGAGCCGCGATCCTCTCTAGTCATGGAACAAAAGTGCTAAAGGTTCTCAGTTATGCCGCTTTCGAAACATCCGAGTCCTCCACCCGAGCAATCCTATGCGCTCTCATGCGAGATCCTGTGCGCTACCGCACTCTACAACAGGAGATCCGGTCAAACTGCTCTGCCAGCAAGCCCATCACCGACAGCCAACTAGTAGGGCTTCTGTACCTTACTGCCTGCATAAACGAGGGACTGCGACTCTGGCCCGGACTGAACGGGCAATTCACGAGTCGGGTTTCGACAGGCGCGGTGGTAGACGGGGTCTATGTTCCCCCTGGAGTACGTCGCATGCATTCCTCCCCTGTCGTGTTTCTTCTTGTTCTCATGCCGTTTTACCTCGGACCCCGCAACTGACAGGATTCGACGAGTAGTGCTTAGTCTCGGCGGATCTGTACACTCTTCAGCGCCACCCAAGGTATTGGCACGAACCGGACACCTTCAAGCCTGAACGCTGGTTGGACCCCAAGAATCCAGACGAAATGCGCGCCTTCCGGCCGTTCTCCGCGGGGCCCCGCTCGTGCCCGGGCCGGCAGATCGCGCTGCAGAAGCTTCGGCTCACGCTCGCCAAATTCATGTTCTTGTTCGATATGCAGCTTGTCAATCCCCATTTCGAGTGGGACCGAGATGTGCCGTCGGGTCTTTTGTGGAGCTCGGTTGAGGTCATGGTGCGGATGACGCTTCTGGAACAGCCAGTGGAAGCTTGAGTCCGGTATAGTTGTATCACAGTAATAGCACATAGATTTGTTGCCGTCTAGGCTTGAAGTATGAAAGCATATGATGGCATGAGCCTGCTCATGCTATAATAATCCAGCCATTACCCTCGTCAACGGCTCATCCTCCGCTTGAAAGGCATCAAACCCTTCCGTCGCGGCATCAGGTATCAGTCCCCCATCACTCACTCCCCCATTCCCCATCCTCGTATCGAAATAAAATCCGCCCGCCATCTCAAAGAAACTCGTCAGGTCCTCACAGCTTGTCTCGTCCGCAAGAACCGTCGTCGGAGACGTCATGGAGCTCAAGTAAGCAGACGCCTGGCGCTGCGGCGTTGGGCCACCCGACATGGGCCTCTGAGTATATGGTGGCTCGGCATGACTCCCCATCGACAGCGGGGTGCCCGTAGCACCCAGTCCAAGAGGAGTTCGACGATCCGTCCCGTTCTTCTGCACTGGCTCCTTGGGCCTCTGCGCCCCGAGATTCAACCAGATCATCTTCAAGCTCTTTATGATTTTCTGTAAGCGGCGGGAGGTGCGCGCGCGTGTCGACGACCGCCGCACCATGTCAACGGCTGCGTAGAACTCGGGCCGACAAACTTGGCTGAACCGCGCGGGGGCGTGCAGGACCGCCAGAAACAGCGCCGCCAATGCCGAGATGAGGAAGTAATTAAAGGGTTCCGGGCGCTGGAAGTAGAGCGGCGACACGCGGGAGAAGAAATCGAGCATGTGGACTGTGTTTTTGGCTGTTTCGACGGCGGTCGAGGCGCCGGGGACGTTTGTTTCGATACTCTCACTGCTGAGGAGGTTCTGGCGGTAGACGAGGATGCGGAGTTGGTTTGCCTGAAGGGCGATGAGAACTTGGAGCATCATCATGCTGTCGGCTTGCGTGTGCGATTGGGACTGGGGTTGTGGAGTGGCTGTAACTGCGGCAGCGCGGCCGGCGCGCTCAGACCGGGTTGGCAACTGGGCCGGGTCGAAGCGTAGCTCTGGAGGAATGGACTGGATCCGTTGCTGGACTTGGAAGTCGAGGTAGGCGCAGTAGTCTGCTATTGCGGCTCGGGGCCGATTGCGCCAGCCCACGACTAGGCCCCAGATCTTGGTGCTCAGACGCGCGTAATGGATCATGCAGGTGAGATACGGGGTGCTTGTTCCGGGTTCGGGTAGATTGGTGTCCATGTCTGAATCCTGGATGGCGAAGGGCAGGCCCGTGCCGAAGGACCATTTGCGGCCGAGCACGTAAATGCACCAGAACAGCCGGCTGGCGTATTCGCATTGCAGCTCACCGGGGAACACGCCACCGGTCTTTTGCCAGGTCTCCTGGCAGTGTAGGCCCAGTTGCATTGATCCTCGCACCGCCATGCCGATAAGCCGCCAGGAAATGACTTCGTCGTCACGATAGGAATGGAAGATGGACTGTCTCATCAGCAGCCACTCAAAGATATATCAGGCAGAACTGACGGAAATACCAGCAAAGTCAAAATGAGCAACTCCTTCATATCCACCTCCGGGACCTTGAGCCGCGTCGCAAACCGATCCTCCACGCTATCCGCCAGCAACGCCGCCCTCTCACTGCGGCCATGCGACTCGGCTAACAACGCCGTCGCTAGTAGAATCTTCAGGACCTCGATATCCCTCGCGAAGAACCACTCCTGATCCAGCGTAGCCGGTGAGCTCGCCACCGCTCCGTCCTTATCCCGGAAGTATTCGGCAATATACGCACGCACGCTTTGCAGATCGACGCAAGGGTACATCAACCCAACCGTATCCTCGTACACGCCGACGAGACGGAGCGCCTCAGCAGAACCTAGACACCCCAGCGGATCGTCAGAAGGAATGTCGTCTCGGAGCGGGGGCGCCGGACTCTGCACCGCCGTCGAGACGAGGTCATCGCTGCTGTCGAAGTCCTCGGGATGCCGTTGGCGCGCGGTCAGGCCAAACTCTGCACTCGTGGGACCGACGTAGGACGGTGACTGCGGGCGGTTCATAATGCGGTGGAGTCCTGCGGTCGTTGACGAGGAGGACACGGTTGAGATAACCGTGGAAGTATTGTTTGTCGTTGAAGGGGAGGCTGATTCAAGTTGTCGCAGGCGAGCGGACATGGCTCGCATCTCGCGTTGCAGGGCCTCGATCTGACGGTCAACGGTACTCAGTCGGGTCGAGAAACTGATCATTGTCAATTTATATCATTCAATAACGCCGATGCAGCCGACCTTTCATCGTGGGCCTGCACCTCTGGTGACGAAATTGTTCTGTTGCTGAGTGCATGTGTGGTGGGAACATAGATGCATTGAACATTGTCGCGGGCGCAACGCGAACAGACCGTCTCTCCGCTACATTTCAGTTTCCGCCGCTTACACTCATTGTTGTGTCCATCATTATCAGACGAAATATCACAATGAGGTCAAGACGGTGGGACTTACCATGCTACCTGTGTGTACTTGGCTCGTTTCTTGCTCTGAGGCTGCCCCGGAATGTCGGCACCGCGCTTGGGGGATTCCGAGCCCATAATCTGGCGCCTTAGCCGCTGTAACTGGTTTGGTTTCAAGATCTTTACCGCATCGGGACATTAGAAAATCGACACCGATGGAATCAAAATGGGCTGATACTTGCAGTATGGTTGAAATAATATCAGGTGGACGAAGAATCGGTGGGTAAGAGGAAGAAACACACTTCCGCATCTCGAGCGGACAGCGGAATTGATGCGTATTCGATGTGAGCCTGAGGCATCATTGCCCATTGATAAAATGGGAATTTCTCAAACTCGCGAGTCGCTTCATCTTATCAATTCAGCTGATTCCTCAATTAATAAATTTTTATTTACAGAGAATCAACCACAGGGTCTTTCCATGACTTGCTGATCAAATATACGGTCTTACAAATGTCGTGAATCATAATCCTCATCCAACAATCTCCATCACAACTGAGCATCACGGCAACATTCCTTTTGTACGACTCTCGACGACGCATCCCTGCTCGAGGGCACATCCAAAGAGGGATTCGCCGTGAAGAAATCCGCCGGCTTAATCATTAATTGGAATATCTCAACAGGCCTATTGACCGTTAGCACCGAGATACTGATTGAAAGGGGCGAAACGTTGCCCACATTACCGGCCAATCCTCTACACGAGGATTGTGCGTGATACCAAAGGTACTCCAGACCACCACATCCGTATCAACCACGGATTCGCCTCGTTTGACAGCGTCGGCCACACCATCCACCTCCTGCTGGCTCTGAAGCGTGTATCGACCTCCCGCATACAGCTCACCATCACGATGCTTTGTCACCCACACGTGGTGTTGTGCAAACTGCGCGCGCTTGGCTTGGACGGAGTTGGGATCCGCCAGTAACCGCTGGGTCGCCAGCGGAATGAACTTGTAACCGACAGGGTGGCCGCTGATGGGGTTCTTCTTATGGGGGTTGATCATCTTGATGGTACGGTTCAGTTCCGGAGCGGCGTCGAGGTAGCAAGCGCGCTCAAGCGTCTGTTGAGTGACCTTGTAGAAGTTACCCTTTGGGTTGGTAATGTCGTTCATGGGGACCGGGTGGGATTCCTCAACCACGACGGAATTATTTGGTCCGTCAATTGCCGGGTCCATACGGACACAGAAGATGTGCTGATGGTTCTGCGCCAAGACACCTCCGCTAACTACGTTACCGTAATCGCTGACCTTGCCCGGATCGATGTTGACGACGTTCAGAATGCCTGTCGCGCGGGACTCGACTGTAATGCCGCCAGATTGATCGAACTTGTAGGCGAAGATGTACTCGTAGTTTGCCAGCGTAATAATGAATTGCACGACCAGTTCGCGGTTCCGGGTGACCACAGCACGGCCTGTCCTCCAGTTGGAGTGCTTCCAACCGATGCCATTGTCCTGTTCGTGCAGGCATATGGCATTGGGCAATTTCTTCGCACTACCGTCGGGCCCTGTAAGTACAGCATCAAAATATTTGATCACACCCAGGCAGTCACAGCCAAGAGAAAGGTTGTTGGCCATGTTACCACCGCCACCATCGCCAAAGTCGAAAGCCTGTTTGCGGTGGAAGGGAGGACGAGGGTCTGCATAGGGAACAGTCTAAATTTTGATCAGTCAAATTGCTGAATAATCCCTGTGAAAACAACCTACCATCTCGCTGATAGCCAGTCGGTGCATCACGCTACGATCATCGTACCAGACATCATGGATAGTCGCACCCTCACGAGGATTAAAACCAACACGGAAACGCCACTTCTGCCACTCGACCAAGGACTCGTTTGTGACGCGGAAAGAAGGGCCCTCGGGCTGCACGACGTTCAGAGGCTTCAGATCCTGCCGTGTGCCTTCTGGCAGAAGCTCCGGCACGTAGTCGGAAGCCTTGCAGTGCCCGATAATATCACGCTTGAAGGTTTGCTCGGTCAAACCATCTCCCTTGCCACCGGTGGCCGGACGATCAACCCGAATGATTTCTTGGGTGTGCGCATCCATCACAGGGATCAATGGCAGAGGGTAAGAGTAGAAGTTCGCATCCAGGTTATTCTTGCTCTTGTCGGTAGCAAAACAGAGACCCTGAAAGTACCGCCGATTCTCATCAGTGTTGTCCAATCCACCATAGGGCCACGGCTCAATTGTGACCTCAAATCCCGGCGGCAGGTCAAAATCTTCCAAGGCTTTCTTGAATAAGGGAGAGGTAAAACATCGCTCAACGAGGTTCTCGAATTCGCTCCTGCAACATGTCATTAGCAGGTATCCGCTTTTCTGAGACGTGTATTTCAACGCACATAGTAATAGAAGCATGGTGTTGCTTTCCAACAATGTGGTGCTTGACACGCTTGCGCGCGACCACATCGACAACGGATTCATGGAAGGAGGGGACACGGTCGGCGCCAATGACATCGTATTGGCATGTAGCGAGACGGGGAGGTCGAGGTGTGGTCGGGCTCAGACGGCCAGCGTGCTCAAGAGCTAAGAAGTCGCGGAGCTGGCCCTTGGGAGGTTCTGACAGGTAGATCTCGCGGAAGTCAATGACGGTGTTGGGATGCTCTGCAATGACGACATCGCGTGCAAGGTTAGTCTCCGCTTCGGAGAGGATTGCTAGAGGGTGAGGAGCCATGTCAGGAGGTATCAAATGATGGAAAGGTGAAGGATTAAGGATGCAGCAGCGAAGTTGAAGCCATTTTGTACCACCTGGGCGTATTTCTTGCCTGATTTGGATGTGAGGGGAGTCCAGAGGATGTCGGAGCCTCGGAACATCGGAATCGCTTTCATGGCGGAAGCTTTCCGGGTCCTCTGTTGTGGTTGGTCGAGGAGGCCGGGGGTGGATGACGCCACCCGGGGAACGCCTAACCATTTTTGATATATGACTCGCGATCAGGCCGTTGCACCTGTCAACATGCCAACAGTTAAGCGAGAGATGCTCAGATGGATTGAAGCCGGTTGAGATATTACCACTAGAATTGAGTCAATTGACAGATGATGGTTTTGTTCCTTTGGAAAATTTCAAATTCTACAATAGCAATTAGGGCTAGATTAAGAGTGGTCCTCCGGCCATCCGAGGTACACAACAACATGCCTTATACTTCAAGGGACATTGTCAACGAATTAGCACAGATCTCAAAGATCTCTGCATCCGACACCAAACTAGCTTCATTCATGAATACATATCATGAAGTAGGCTGGAATGCCTATTCCAGTCTTGGTTTTACCCTCATGGGCCTTTCCCAACAGTGTGCTTCCTGCTAGTTTTTAGTCTTCTTAACATTCCAGGCTCCCAGCCATCAGGAAATCAGGAAATCACGATTCTAGAGGGCTAAAGTTTTGCACACCAAGCCACATGATATGCAAGAAGTTGGAGTAATTCACCAGAAACATAGGCATATAAGAGATATTATGGGCATGATAAGTAGTTTAATAAGTATTAAATACTCAAATAATGCATGCACAGGAGACTTCTTGGTGCTTAAAAACTTCTATGGGCAGTATTATCCCCCGGAGCAACTGCCTAGACTTGAAGATATCTGTTAAATAACACATATTGACAGATCCTATAATGAATTAGTCTTGTTTGAAATGTCCTGAACGTATTGGACTGGTTAGATGGGACAGCAGGGACTTATGGCTTAGTCACGTTGGTCTTCTAACTATTGATACCTTTAATCTACTAGTTAATATACAAAGAAATAACAGGCTGATCCTAATGGGCATGTTTGAATAGGATTCTATGAAGACATGTTGGTTGAATATCACCCGCAGCCTGTATAATAGAATGCCTTCTAGTAGAGTGCTCAACCTAGTACGTACTAAATCACCACAGCGGTCCACTATGGTTATAGTAGCAATTATATAGCCACAGGAAATTACTTAGATGGGCTATATTCTGCTTGCCTCTATCCATGGTCGATGACAGAGGCAGCTATAGTGGGCGGGAAGAGGCATTGAGGAGGAGAATTGCAGTAAGAAAGATGGGTATGAAAATTAGTATTACTGACAGACTAATAATGATTCAGTCAAATACCAAAGAATAAATGTCCTACTTGCATTCTCTGCTCACTGCGGGGTGCTTTCCTGGTGCCTTATAGATATGTGCTCAGCCAACTATATATCAACAACTTCTAATGTCCGCTTTCAAAACTTCTGCTTAGCCCACATTAGTAGCTTTTTCTGTACCGTTTATTTAGAATATGTTACATTGAGGGACTATAATTCTTGATTTTTTGGCCATAATAATAATGTCCAACCGATTGCAAGCCTCTGAGAACATGGCTTAATTATTGTTTGTGTTGGCTGCACCACGTGGAAGATATAGCATTTTTAGTGGTCGCAGATCATCTAACAGAGTTGTGTTTCCCACTTCAACTTGGCCCTCAGCAACAACTAAAGGATCCTTCGATCTTTTTGGAACGCGACAGCTCAAGTATAAATAATGCGAATATGGAGTGTCTACCATGACCAGGCCGTCTCACTCTACGAAACTCTAGTCAACATGCTATCATTAGGCTTGACGCTTTTGTTCTCAGGGACGGCAACCCTCGCCTTCCGTGACACCTTCTATCCCCCTCTGAACCACACCACATTCATCACTAACACCTCCTACGGCACTTATGGCGGTATCTACACTGCTCCCGCTGACAGTCCTAGCTCACCGTCCGCCGGTGATGTCTACAATTACTGTTCCATGCCTCATCCGCGGGGGGAGACCTACTCCTTGCCGCCCCCTGTTGCAAATCATTCCATCAAGGCCAAGCTGGTATACCTTGAATACTTGCAGCGCCACCAACGGCGGACTCCTTACAACATCCTTCCTGGAGGAGAGGTAATTCACTTTTTTCTAACTCTGCCGATCGATCGCTAACACCGTCCAGGATCAAGAATACAACTGTGACAACATCGATCCGCATGTCTACGCCGCCCCAGCTTCGCAGCACCCGTCCCCAGTCGCTGTCTATGGTCAAACCTACTCAGATTCGTCCAACCCATATCTTACGACCTACGTTAATGGGTCCTGTCAGTACCCCCAACTCACTCTGGGCGGCTTCCTTGACGGCTACCAGCACGGCCGTGATCTCCAGGCCGTCTACGGCCGCCAGCTAGGCCTGATCCCCTCAACCCCAGACCAGAAGAAAGTCTGGTTCCGCTCCAGCTCCTCGGCACTGACGCAGGGCTCCGCCGGCGCCGTCCTACGCGGCATCTGGCCAGAGTACCACGAACCCATCCCAGTGCACCAGCAAGCTTCCGCCGTTGACACAGTCAACAGCGGCTTCCCGTGCTCCGCGCGCAACACCCTCCTATCCGCGATTCGATCTACTGCCGAATGGAACGAGCATCTCACAGTCACGCAGGCCCTCCGTGACAGTCTCGCAACCATGTTCGACGCGCAGGACCAGTCCGCCTGGACTTCGAATTTCGACCACTTCGCGGACAATTTCCAGGCCCGCCTGTGTAACGGGTACAGACTGCCATGCCGCGTCCAGGACCGGACGCAGTGCGTAACCACGGCCCAAGCGGACGAGGTCTTCCGCGCCGGTGACTGGGAGTATAATTACTTGTGGCGGCGGAGCGCGAATGCGACGCGGTACATCCAGGTCATTGAGGGTCTGTTTATTGGGGAGATAGTACGGAAGCTCGAGGCAGTTGCGGAAGGTGCATCGAAGCTGGCGTATAGCCATAACTTTGTGCATGATGGGGATATCTCCCCAGTTCTGGGGGCGTTGGGGATCAAAGTGATGCGGTGGCCAGGGATGGGCTCGAACACCGCTTTTGAGGTTTGGTAAGTTTGCCACCTCATTTACTTGAGTCTCGTATCGGTTTCTGACGAAAGCAGGAAAACGTCGACTTCGGAATACTTTGCCCGTGTCCTGTACAGCGGCCACGCCATTGAAACGATTCACGGGCGGCTGGACTGGATCCCACTGTCGACATTGCTGGATATCCTACGCCCTTTTATCCCGGGAGATATAAAATCCATGTGTAATTAAACCAGACGCAGATAGGCAGCCATATATCTTGGATAATACACCTTCACTCCTCACAACAGTAGCAATAATGCCCGTCCGAACAGCACTGTGGAAACTCCCCATGACAGCAAACAGCATGCGAGCACGGCGGCGAGCAGCGGTAGCAATCTAGCATTCATTTAGTTGCATCGATCATTCGTCGGTTGCTCCAACGTACGGTTCTCGTCAATCCGTAGAACGGTCTGTTCTAAGTTCAAGGCAGGTGTTTTCTTTGCGTCTATGGGAGCCATCTTTATTTCTCCTGTATAGTCCAATAAATACCGGTTTATAATCCAGAGGATGGTGATCTTACGTGCACATATGTGGTGTTCTGCCTGGACGGCGAAAAGGTACAGGAACGTCGTGGAGATGTAGATAGGCCTCATTATGAGAATAGATAAGTGTCTCTCTCCCTCAAGTCAAGAAACAGAGAGTACTGGATTTATGTATGTATTGAGGGACGTGGTTCTGTGCTCAGATGAGATTGTCATCTGCCACTGTACATATTGGTGTCATATGGCGGGCTGGATTTACATCAGCTGATCACTTAACAATCGACGGTTTGGAACAATTAGGAAGAACAGATTAATCCTACAGACAAGTATTACGAGATTCCTGCATAATACCAGACAGAATATCAGACAAAGGTGTATGTGTCTTGATTCTGCTCATAAGATGGCAATCATTACATTATCTAAACGAACAGTGAGAATGATGATATTCAAAGATGACAGAAGCTCCTCCGATGACCTGGCTACCTACACATTGTAAGGTGCCAATATGCTAGTATATCTTCAAAAAGCTGCTTCAGTCGCCCATCGTATTTTGCTTTGCGAGTGTCCCCCTTCGTTGTACAATAGCTGCCGCATTGGCTTTCCGACATCAACTCAGTTATGCGACCATCTTCTATTGTCAGATCGAGATATGCTGCCACAGCATTGTAAACAATGCACTTGGAAATCCCAAATTTAGGTAAGAAACACCAGAAGGAACCGGTCGGTCCTGCAGCTGTCGTGCAAGGCGACGGGCAGTGGATACCGCGCCTTACTCTTGTCAGGCAGGGGTGTTAAAACGCGTGATTCTTGCCCCTGCTCGCTTAGAACAGATAAAAACTCCTGATGGTAATTTTTTTAGCCTTCCAACTCTTCTTCAAATTATCGAGGCTACAGTCTGCTAGCGAAAGTGGCGAGTGACGCATATCAAGCGGCCTGGAACACGCCCACTCGAGATCAATTATAGCCCTCATATGCCATTCCTCGTCCACGAATTGTTGCTTGGGTGAAGGTCCATAAGACCAAGGAAAAGGGTTCCTTGCCTATGTTCTTTGTGGGTGAACTGTAAATTAATGGTTCCCATAGACGTTAGCACAGCGACTTGGAACTATCCATCTTCATCAAAGATGACCGATTTTGGTAAGTGTTCAACCCGAGCGACATTGGAACGAAGACGCTGAAACTTCCTTGTTTTCAATTCGAAAAGTCTGCTGAATGGCAGCTCTGGAAACTGCTCAATCAGAGGTAGCTGCTCGCGAGTTCCTCAATTTCATGCGGGCATGATATAAGCAAAACATGAATTCTAATCTACTATCTACTATCTACTATTATCATAAGGCAATAAGGGTGGGTCCCGGCTTAATAATCGCTTAATAATCAGCTGTAATTCAGTCCCAAAATTGCCTCTTTTGGTTTAGCTTCTTCCTTTGGTTTAGCTTCCTTTGGTTTACAGCCATGCTTACGCGCCTGCTTCCCCCTTCTTGCAACTGTATAATTTTTCTATATGCTCTCCTGCACTCCCATTAAGATATTGATACTAGATGATGATTTGATGATTTGATATCCCTACTAGATAAGAATTCAACAATCGACATCAATACTAGAATCCTAGATGATATTTAATATTAATAATAGATGGCATTTGATATCCCTACTAGATAACAACTCAATATCCCTATAATACAAGAATTTGATATCCCTATTAGATAAGAATTTGATATTAATACCTCTCTACTAGATGATGATTTGATCTCCCTACTAGAGAATTAATATTACCTAAGGTGAGGGCCGTAGGTCCGAACCTCAAGACGCACGAGCGGAGCGAGTGCTAGCCGGCTTGTCGCTTCTTGGGGGAGTACAACTTCTAGAGAATGTCATCAGAACGTTCTTATGCGTCGCCATGGGGTATCAATCCTTGAGAAGTGGAGCTTTTCCTTCAGTAGATTGCGTACCCGTTGGTACTCCAGAGTCCAGAGGGGTGCCAGGTTCGCCGAAATTTGGGCATCGCGGGCCAGCCATAATTTGACAGGGGTTTGGGTATGGCCGAACCTCTATGGCTCCCGTACGTGCCATAAATATATAGTCTGCGCGCCACCAAATCAAATTAGGTGCTCGGGTTTTGCGGTACCTTAGCAATAGCGTAGGTAAATTGCATTCTGGACGACCGAATGCGGGGCAGCAGTGAGACTCGAATAATGGACAGTAACTGTATTTTCACGACGGTAGGGCTCTGCGCTTGGACGTGTTTCTGGACTTCTGGTGACAACTTCAGAATAATAAAATCAATTCTTGCTCGTCCCTGTAGCAGGTAGAAAAGTAACAAGAAAATCAATAGAAAACAGTGCATATTCACAGAAAAAGGAACTCAGGTACCCAACTTGAATCTATCTTGATCCCTAAAGTGTCAGGCAACAATTATTTTGATGTTCTCCACTAAAACTCTCCATAATACTCTTCTTTTACAAGAATCGGGGCCGCTTTATACCCAATAACACAATTGAAATGGAGGGAATTCTACGACCATTTACTGATGTATGGATATCTAACGTCTGTGGCATTCTTGTACTGACAGCCTTTTGACAGCCGGCCAGTCGAGCTGCAGACAGAGCATTTCCACTGGATGGTACTGACGTCCATTCCCTCTCTGATGAGTCTCTTGCTACCCTACTTGACTCCGCCCCGGTCCTTCACGATCTGGGCCAAACGACTGTGGTGCGACTATCAAAAGACCTGGTTTTGAAAGGTGGCGGTAATGTGCTTCCCTGTGAGGCAGAGGTCCTTAGAATTGTTGCTTCAAAACCCGGCATTCGGGCTCCACACGTCCATCGCTCGTTCCAATTCCCAGACGACACGAAATACTTCAGCACCATGGGATATATTGTGATGGATTACGTTAACGGTCAACCTCTCGATACCTGCTGGGAAGACCTCAGCGATGAACGGAAGCTGGACGTTTCAAGACAAACCGCCCAAATGATACTCGAAATGCAGTCTGTTAAACTACCGGAGCCAGGGCCAATTGGCGGTGGACCATGTCGCGGTCGATTCTTCACTCATTACAGTGCAGGTCCGTTCAAGAACAAGGCTGAGTTTGAAGGCTGGTTCAATCATAAGCTGGAAATTTGTAAGAAGTTCAATCAGGCTCCGCAAGATATCCCCGCCTTCAGGTTCACGGAGTTCGTCCTTACTCATCAGGACATCAGCCCTCGGAATCTCATTTTGGACCCAGATGGACAAGTATGGCTCGTGGACTGGGCAGATGCCGGAGCCTATCCTCCAGCATTTGAAAGTGCAGCCTTGGCCTCCCAGATGAGTTTTCCAGACTTTAATGCCATGGTGCTGTCATGTCTACCACGGTACCCTGTGGAAGAAAGGCAATTAGATTCTATCGGATACGGTTTATTAACAGCTGCGCTGGCTTGATAAGACATGATCTGGGCTGTACGTGGAGTTCGTACAACGAGTGACATAAAGGATTTTGTACGTAAATTGTAATAATAACCCCTACGGAGCTTTGACCCTGGGTCTCAGGTGTTCCGGACTGAAGGCAAAATAAAAATCATGCATCAATTTTGACCGCGAGTACGCATGGGCAAAAGACGACCACCGGAACCGGACGAGGGACGCCTACTCTTCAAAAACAGAGCAGTGGGGGTAAAAAGCAAAAGAAGAAGCCTAACTGCTTTCAGGGATACGACAGCTTCAAGAGAATGCCATATCCACGTTCATGTACACTCACCATAGGTGATCGACCATCAAAGAAGGGAAGCTGTTTCTTCAATATTCATGATTTCGTCAGAATACTCCATGAAAATAAAACTAAAGAGCCGAGGGAATCAAAACAAAAACATGCGCTCCACATTTCCATTATGCGGGGAACTTTTGGAAGGTGCAACTGTGCGAGTATACACATGTCTTGGCATTGATCATGTGGTTTTCAACAGTCTGCAAGAGCAAAAGGGGACAGGGAAGAGAGTAATGGCAGGAGAGCATGCCATTTCTGCCCCTGAGCACCTAGCTCTATCTAGGTCTTGTCCAAAAGATCTGCAAGTATTTTCTTGTCTATTTTCATGAACTCTCATGGCGAAAATGAATAATTGCCTCCATAGCTCGTCTCACGATGTTGAAATAGCTATAGGATCCTGAATTAAAAGCTTTCGTCAAATCAACCTGCTCCAGACGGAACACAAAATGGAGTTGTTATTGACCCACGAGATCATTTTTTTTGCCATGTTTGCATGCGTTATCGACTTATCATATCGGAAACTGGGCAAATGAACAAAGCTCCTTTTATGATTGGGTCTGTTGGAGAATTAGATAGTTATCAATTTGGCTTGATTATAAATGCTTATCCGCCAGCTTCCACTTCTGGCAGAATCGAGTCTTCATCACCTTTGGCAGCAATAATATCCCAATTATCAATATCCATGGGGACGAACGCTCTACTATCTTTGCCTTCAAAACATCCCGCATTCAGAAAGCATCATGGTGGCTGAACCGCAAAGAGATGCAGTGCCTTCCGAGGCCACGCCGTTGATGGAGCATCCGCTCACGGATCACGATGAAACTCAGATATCGCCTTCATTTCTCAGAGGAACGGTCATCACTATCACTGTGGGCCTGTTGCTATTTATTCAGAGTAAATAAATTGCCATTTCGGGGTCTTTCACGGTAATGACTAACGAATGCCATTGCAGCCACGAACATATCAATGTTGATCACGGCTCAATCGGATATCGCAGAAGATCTCGACGCCTTTTCGGAAACGACATGGTTCAGTTCAGCATACCTGGTACGTCCTTTCAATGTCCTCCAAGAAAAACATGTCTATCACATGCAAGTGGGCTAATTCGTGTCGCGCATAAAGATCGCAATGTCCAGTGTCTCTCCTTTAGCAGGACGTCTCTGTCAGATCTTCACAGCCCGTAGCTATACTCTTTTCTCTGTGATGATCTTATCCGTCGGACTCTTTGTTACTGCCGCTTCTCGAAGCCTGCCGGTCTTCCTTTTTGGACGTGCGTTATCTGGCTGTGGCAGTGCGGGCGTTATGGTCACCTCCTTCATCCTTATCCTTGACCTTACAAGCAAGAAGAGAAGAGGTCTCTTCATTGGCTTGTTGAATGTCGGAATGACTACAGGAATCTCTTGCGGTGCGGTACTTGCCGGATTGTTGACGCCAGTCTTCGGATGGGTATGTCATCTTTCATCGAAATAATTGGAAAGGATACGGAGCTGACCCAGGGACCGTAGCGTCTGATCTTCTGGGTTCAAGCACCTGCTTCGTTGATTCTCGGGCTGATCGAGTATCTCGCTGTTCCCGACACGAGGAATACTTCCATGAGTCTGCAGACCAGTTCTCCCTGGGAAAGACTAGCCAAAGTCGATTACGCGGGTGCCTTGACTCTGGTAAGACTACCAAGGGTTTGATGACAGTGGCTGAGGATTAACCATTTCTTCCATACAAGTTCAGTATTTCTGCTGCTCTTCAGTCTTGCCTCGCCAAATTCAACTGTCACAATCACACCTCTGATCCTGAGCTTCGTCTCTTTCGCCGTTTTCCTTCTTATCGAGTCGAAGTTTACATCAGAGCCGATAATCCCGATTGATGTGCTCAAAGCAAGAAGCATACTGGCTACCTGCCTAGCAACTCTCATCTCGATGATGGCCCGCTGGTCTGTTCTCTTTTTCACGCCAGTGTATGCAATGGCGGTCCGACAATGGTCTCCCGCCTCCGCCGGGTTGATCCTAGTTCCAACGAACGCAGGGTTCGGCCTTGGAGGCCTGTTGGTCGGATGGATCCATATTCGCAAGACGAGCAGTTACTACACGTGGGTGTTGTTTCAATTGATTCGAGGAGTCCCAAAACTGACCTCTCGTGCTATAGCTCGACGCTAGTAGTTTTCCTGCTCTTTGCGTTGACGAACTTTATACTGGCCATACTATCGACACCTTCTTCACCTACCATCGCCTACGTCGTCTCGACCTTTTTTAATGGCCTTTTCATTGGCGCTTCGATGAACTATGCATTGTCCCATATGCTACACCTTACCGATCCAAACGTGCACTACATTGTGACCTCCCTACTAGGCATGTTCCGAGGTTCTGCTGGCAGCTTCGGATCTGCCATTGGCGGCGGCTTCTTTCAGCGGGAGCTGAAGAAAGCACTTGAGAAGGGATTTGGTAAGCACGGACTTCTCGCGAAAGATGACCTTGTTCGTAAACTTTTAGGAAGCCCGGCGCTAGTGAGGAAACTGAGTGGACTGGAGAAAGAGGTGGCCATTCAAAGCTATGAGCATGCAATCAAGCTTTTGGTCTTCGGTGGGTGTGTTCTGGCTCTAGTAGCGACAATCATCCAAGCTTGTACAGGCTGGAGAGCACCTCATGAGGTCGAGAAGGATGTCCATGATGATCTGGAGGACAGACTCGATCAGGAATAGTAGACTGTCTCAAAAGCTTTTTACATGATTCATTTGCGATATATATGTCCATCAGCAGACTTTGATGCCTTCCACAGTACGGAGTACCTTATCTTCGCCGGAATAACGCTTGGTGACGACGGAAAGGTCACAGTTGTGTAATACCCAGTCTATATACACGGCTTCGCCAACATTGTGGAACCCCTTGTTCCGGATTCAAATTCATCCAAGATCCTTCCCTGCTCCGTCGTTAGATATTAGACTTGGTGGCCTTTGAGAGGCATAACTAATGCGGCTAAGAGTCTGGTCCAGGACTTATCTCACTCCCTTCGCACCCACTTAGTTAATAATAGATCTTATATAACTATACTGTCCCTTGTTAGGTAAGCCTAATGAGGACGAGTCTTTAAAATATCTTCCAATGATTCCATACAGCCACAGCTTTGGTACATGTTTATTTCGATGACTTTGTTGCAACCTTCTTCAACCATAGGTGCATACGCATTTGGATTGTTAGAGGTCTGCCCTGATATGTTATCCATTGCCTCACTTGGAAGGTGTGATAAGCTTCTCTTACCCTGCAGTTAAACTATTTTTCCTTGGAGATCGATATATGCTACATTTCAGACATTGTTAAAAATAGTCTATTGCATTCGCCGATGGATTTGTCCAAGGACACACATTCAGGAGCACGCACTTCCAATGATGCGACGCCAGTCTTTCATTACAACCCCGATGTCCTTCGGTACTTTGTCGCGCCGATGTAAGCATGGGAAGACACCTGTCCTGACAGGCATACGTCAAATTACGCGTGAAATACCTTCCGGGTCTTCAAGTAGCAGGCAACAGATCAGACCGTTCCAGAATCAGTCTGTTCCTAATTCCCCATCTCAGGATGAATCGTTCAAGAACGAGCTGAGGCACATTGTCGCCACCTTCCGTGCGCCAATATCGTATGCTTTTGCCTATAGTTCTGGTATATTCCAGCAGGGTCCCAAGCGTTTCCAGCGCCAAAAGTGCATGCGGACCCATCCGAGGCGATTATACAGATGCAAGGAAGCTATCAGAAAATAATAGACTTTATATTTGGGGTCTCATGCTCACAGAAGTGACACTCTATCAATTTACAGCAGCATCGGGATCACTACGGTGGGATTGGGGGACTGGGGGCGTACGCAGTGGCACAATGTCAAGATGCCTCGACATATTTGGTGAGAAAGGAGGGCTATGAGCCTATGTTTATAGAGCCAAACGGCAAGAAAACACTATACCTAAATAGGAGAGCTAACCCTAATCCAGTAATTGATGCCTTGGTGCCTTGGTCTCTGCGAGTCTTGGCACTCCGGTGTGGACCTTCGACAGAAACTCGCACCTTTGCGAGATCTCATATTCCTTTTGATCCCAGTTCGATACAGACTAGGAACCTATATTTGCTTAACTCAGACTATCATCTCAATAACCGAAATAGGTTTTTATCATGCCTCGTGCAATTAAAGGTGCGCCGATCATTGGACCCTTAAGATGGTTGACTGTGAACTGTTCTAACCGATGTCGCAACATGACAGGAGTGCTCATCGAGTGCGATCCATCCGTCAAAGCTATCATACTGAAATATGACGAAGAAAGCCACGATTACATTGTGGAGGATCTAGATGATGACCGCCATCTAGTCATCAAGGAAAGCCAGCTACAAAATTTGAAGGAAAGGCTAGGAAGGGTATGGATACACAAACTTCTTTCAGTGCGATGGGTGCGCTAATATTCGGATAGGAGCTTGATGAGAAAGTAATGCAGCCCGAAGAATCCGAATCCGAGTAAAGAGGAACGACGTCACCCAAGCCGCCGAAGCAACGATACGATCCCGTGACGTTTTGAGCGCCTCAGTATGGCCATTGGCCATCGACAGTAAGCCGTCTTCGACGACGATGTTCGAAGAAACTATTACCTGGATATTCTACGCCGCGACGAGCATGCTCGTTGACAGGAACACTACCGCGAAAATGGTATCGAAGAATTCCGTCGAAACTTACGCTGTCCGCAATGATTTCACTGTGAAATCACGCAGCATAACACTTGCAATAAGACGTGTTGCAAAATGCATTTGTGGTGTGACATAGAGCCAATAATCTCTATGATTTCCATGTCATGATGTGATGCAGGTTTGAATTCTGGTCTTGTGGCGAATTCAGATTGTAGCCAGAACCTACGATGGAGGAACACGTTGTGGGGGAGTCATGCAATGAGCCTACAAACTAGGTGTATGACAGCTCATCGACGAATGACCTGTGATGAATCCAGGACATTCCATGGATAGCATCTGGTCAAAGTGCAAATTGCTTCGAAGCTTCTCCAAGCTACCTGAAGCTCTTCGTGAAGCTTATGTGGCGAGCATCTTCTGTCACGTGATCGTCGAATCTCCGCGAATCATCGAGTGCACTCCAGCTATATGCCGTCGACAATGCTCGATGGTTCGTGATGCATCAAGCAAGATCCAGCACTCTCGAGCAGCACTTCTGAAGTCATCAAGATAGAGTTTTGGGAGATTCTCGAACCATGGCTCTGGGGTATTTAGGCACCCCCAACACCTTGTCTACTCGGGGTTCAGTTCACCAGATCAGAACACAAGAATCAAACACAAGAATCACGATAACAACACGCTCACATCAACTACAACAACCTTCTTCAACAATATCAACTCGTTAACAACCTCATCAAACAGCCTTATCACACGCATTCAAAATGTCTCTCTTCCACACCTTCCACACTCCTGGCGACTTCGCCCCTCTCTTCCGCCTTCTGGACGACTACGATGTCCACCGGTCGAGCAGAGGCCAGACTTCCTCTGTGCGCTCCTTTGCACCCCGCTTTGATGTTCGCGAGACCAACGATGCCTACCTTCTGGACGGCGAGCTTCCCGGTATCGCCCAGAAGGACATTGACATTGAGTTCTCCGATAACGATACTCTCGTGATCAAGGGCCGCACCGAGCGCGAATACCACTCCGGCACTCCCGAGCAGGCCACCCCGGAGTCCTCTGACGACAAGCAGAAGGAGAAGGAGAGTACCGAGATGGTCAAGTCCGGTGACAGGCAAGTCAGCAAGAATGACAACAAGAAGCACCGCTACTGGGTGAGCGAGCGCTCTGTCGGCGAGTTCCACCGCACCTTCCAGTTCCCGACTCCTGTCGACCAGGATAACGTCAAGGCTAGCCTCAAGAACGGCATTCTGTCCATCGTTGTGCCGAAGAGGGTCGTCAACACCGGCGCCAGGAAGATTACCATCGAATAAATGGTCGACGACTGGAACCATTCTGACACGAGCCTGATGTGACGATGATGTGATGATAATTCCATTACCTTCTTGTCTTTCCTTTGCATTCATTGAGTTAGTTCGAACAGTTCCTCGACGGCATGGTGTTTTCGGTGGAAGCGCTTTTTAAGTCTGTCCTTTCCTGCATACTCAGTGTACTATGTCAAGCAATAATCAAAATTTAATTATCATTTCAACTTTGGTTTCTCACAATCGTAGTCCATAGTATGTAGGTGCATTGAGTAGAGTTGTCGCACAATATAGTACACAGACGTAACTGAGAGGAGAGTATCGACATAAAATATATATAGTGAATACAATAGACCATGCATCTGGCACGCACTATCGCTGAAGAGCGTAGACATCATTCAAGAATTGCACCGCTTCCCCGAATATCTGGTCTTTGAGCTTCGCGTCGATGAATATCGACGGAACTAGTAAGTCACAGTTAGTGCAGTCCATCAAATCAGGAATATAAAGTCATACTTTCCAACCACCCATGTATCTGACCCTCGTCGAACCTGCTTTCAATGCGATAAGGTTGCAACCACGACTCGGACGAGTCCTGCTGATCAACCAAGCCGCGATTGATCGCTGCAGCCTCCTCTTTCAACCTCTCCACGAACACAGTCTGCTCGTGCAGGAGAATATCCATTTTGGGAACCACAAACATCATATTCCGGGGCAAGCACTCAATGTCTGCCAGGATAGGATGAAGTAGTGGATTGGTCAGGTTCTTCTCCCGCGCCGGTCCTGCATACGCGTCCATCAGGGGCTGCAAGAAGGCCAGGGGGTCTTTCTCGGGGAATCCAGCCGGCCGAGGTTTCTCCCATGGTGGGAGCCGCAGATCAATCTGATAACAACCTCATGCGTTAATACCGGTCGATGAAGGGGCTGAATAAGGTATATACTCACCGGTGCATAGAACGTCACTGACGCCTTGATACTGAACTCCGTATGCGCCAGCCGCTGCGCAACGCCCAAGGCCAGATTCCCGCCGGCGGAGAATCCACTCACGCTCATCGATCTCGGATCCGCGCCCCAAAGCCGCTCGGCATTCTCGATCAACCACTCCGCAACGTCCTGGACGTCTTCATGTGCGGTTGGAAAGGTATAGCGCGGTGCATACCGGTGGGAAGTAGATACGACAGTCGCTCCGGTTTCGTTGGCGACTTTCTGACAGACTGACGTCTGGCCTTCTGGTAGTCCGCCTAGGAACCCGCCGCCGTGGATGTTGAGATGGAGAGCCCTCGATCCAGACTGGTTTTGTGTCCTTGGGTGATAGACGATGGCGCGGACTGAATGGCCTGCCGCTCGCTTGAGAGGAATCCAGATGACAGTCCGGCGGCCTTTGGTGAAAAGACTGGGGAGATATTGGATTGTGTTGGAGAGTAGTACGAGCGGCTGGAAAGCCAGGAGTCGCCAGCGGAAAGTGAGTGGTAATGATGGACAGAAGATAGCGTCGTAGATAGGGCCGAACCAGCTGTTTAGGAACGACATGGTTCTGTCTTGATTGATGAGAGAATGCGCTGAACTGGGAGAAGTGGTTGTGCTCGTATTCTTGCTGCTTCTTTCATGCCACGTGAGTCATCGTCTCAACGCCTGTGTTCGTTCATCTTTCCATAGCGAAGTCATTTAACAAATCAATAGAATCTGATGACCAAGTGGCAGTGTCTTCGAAAGATTCATAGTACCTCTCTATGCTGAAGGTC